ATGACCAACCTAGATAGCATATTAAAAAGCAGAGACATTACTTTGCCAACAAAGGTCCATCTAGTCAAGGCTATGGTTTTTCCAGTGGTCATGTATGGATGTGAGAGTTGGACTGTGAAGAAAGCTGAACACAGAAGAATTGATGCTTTTGAACTGTGGTATTGGAGAAGACTCTTGAGAGTCCCTTGGACTCAAGGAGATCCAACTAGTCCACCCTAAAGGAGATCAGTCCTGGGTGTTCATTGGAAGGACTGATGTTGAAGCTGAAACTCCAATACTTTGGCCACCTCATGCGAAGAGTTAACTCATTGGAAAAGTCCCTAATGCTGGGAGGGATTGGGGGCAGGAGGAGAAGGGGATGACAGAGGATGAGATGGCTGGATGGCATCACCAACTCAATGGACATGAGTTTGAGTACACTCCGGGGTTTGGTGATGGACAGGGAGGCCTGGCGTGCTGCGATTCATGGGGTCGCAAAGAGTCAGACATGACTGAGCAACTGAACTGAACTGAAACATGTATTTTATAATGAGGCAGCCTAAATTTAAAATCTAGATAACTTTGATAATTTGTTTAAGCTTTCCAAATTTCATTTCTCTCTTTTATAAGATGTGGATATCTCACACCTACTTTAGAGAGCTGATGTGAAGAAGAAACTAGATGAATGTAGAACATATAACATATGTAGCTATTACTAGAAGCAAGGCTAACTTCATCCAAGATAATTTGGTTCAACATCTTACACTTTTGCATCATTGCAGATTCTAAATCAAATTAAAACCTTTAGGGCTACGCCTCAGCTGATGAATAAATTAACCCAAATTTTGACTCTTAGGATAATTATATTATGTTGACTATGTATTATGAATAGTTATAGCAGTAGCAGTAATATTATTAGGAGGATAGCAAGAAGTATTAACAAATGATTTTCACTGCTTTCACTTCATTTAGAAAGTTTTAAGTGATGAGAATATAAGAAATAAACTTATTATTAAGGTATATGGGTCACACTTAGGCAAAAGTTTGAGAATTATATCTCAGGTAACTTAAAACTGGATGGAAGCTGTTTTTTATAACTTTAACAACTTCTCATAACTGAGAAATAACATTAAGTTTATTATAGTTATCTAAAGGTTAACTTTTACATAAACACATATTATCCCCCTTTGCCTTTCACAAACAGTACATGACATAGAAACACAAAATCATTTTTAGGTGGAGGGAATCCTCTTTTTGTACCAGAATCTTCTATCAGTACTTGTAAGTAAACAGAAATTCAGATTATCCACACCCAGACTCTATAAGTACATGTGTCTATTATCAAAAGTAAGGGTGATTTAACCCAATGTAATATTGCTCCAAATTCTCAGCTTTTTGAAGGGAACAAACTCTAAGTCAAAATAATTAATAAAATCTCCATGATTTCAGCAGATGTATAAATTATCCAAAACCATTGACCAGTAATTACATTTATATTTGAAGAACAGATTGAATGATATTCAAAATCCATATGAAATTGACATCTGCTTCCATGTAAAAGAACAAGCAATATGGAATTAGAATTTTAATACCATTTGCTAGAAGCTGCAATACCAGGGGATGTCCCTAATATCTTTTATCTCTGGACAAAAATTAGTGGCTAGCTTTATGAAAATGTACTTTTATACTATCCTAAGCCTTTTAAAATTACCAAAGTTTTTTCCTTGAATTATATTAGTTTCAAATAATAATCACAAACTCTCATCACTATCTTAGCAATATAGGAGCTGCAAATACTCCCAGGTACTACTTGGGCCCACTGATGAAGCTATACTGGATCCAAGTGACAGTCATCAAGGGCTGTGAGTAGATTTAAACCACATTGAAAATATGACAAACACTAATGTCATTTATCCATACTATTGATTAAATTATCATAATATTTTTGATGCCTTTGATCAATTCTTTCAATAAGCTCCCTAAATAGCTGTTGTTCAGTTGCTCAGCTGTGTCTGACTCCGTGACCGCATGGACTGCAGCATGCCAGGTTTCCCTGCCCTTCACCATCTTCAAGAGTTTGCTCAAACTCACATGCATTGAGTCGGCGATGTCTATTTGACCAGTTAACTTTTCAGTTAACAGAGCAAGCCAACTGTCCAGTTCTTCAAAATCTATGGTCTTAATACACTTACAAAATAATTCAAAATTGGTGAAGTCACCACAAAAGCAACAGGAATACAGCTGAAATGTTATGTGTGGAATCATGACAAAATGAGAATTCAGTAAATGACCCAAGAAATTATTCTAATCAATACATTAATTGATACTACTCATCACCAAGCGATTACACAATATGTGCTATTATAGTGCAGGAGTCTTTAAGAGCTGATCTTCAGCTTTCTGCCTTCTCTTCCCTGCTGCCACAACCCCAGTAACGCTTCAGTGATGGCTGCCCCAGACGCCAGGATTTCTGGGTGAAGAGGTAAGGAATAAATTCCTTCCCCATCCCAGCCAAATTGTGATGGACATATGGCAAGAAATGAACATCTAAAGTTCATTTGAAGTTAAAAGTCATTAAGATTTTGAGTGCGAGAACAACTGCAATGTAAATTACCCTACTGTGACTGATTTAATCCAAGACAATGCCTACTACAAACTTGTAAGAGCAGACTATTACAAACT